ATTTTCTCATAACTATGATATTTTGATCAATATTTAAATATTACAATTTTATTTCATAATCAATTCATTTAAATAAATAATTCTTGCATTTCAAATAAATGTATTTGAAATTAAATGTACTTTTTTTGTTTAAATATACAAAAATAAATTCATCATATGATTCAAGATTACAAAACTTTTATCGGTAGATTATTTTTAATATTGTTTAATATAATGTACTAAAATAATCAATAAAATTCATTTTGATATTATCAATAGCTATCAATATGTTTATTTATTCAACACAATTATTATTTATTTATTTACTATATATTTGTTATACTGATTTCAATATAATAGAAAATATTATTTATTTGTAATCTAAATGTTCTCATATACTTAAATGTTGTATTTAAATGTTAGCTATTTTTATGTTACATACCATATGTTCTTACTCAATCGAAAAAATAAATTAATTTAATCTGACTTGTGAATAAAAATTTATACTAAATCATATCAATACCCTATTTTCATATTGTAATTTATTTACAATTTAAGTTATTAAATATTAAATAATTTAATATTTATATTGACTATCGATAATAATGCAATAATTATTTTATGCTAAATTTATACATATTTATACATGTGCAATATTATAAATAGAGTAAATAACATTATAGATTCAGTACACATATCACTAATCTCATTATTGTTACCTTAATAAACGTGATGACATTTATATTTTAATAGTCAGTAAAGAGTATTTAAAACGCATACAATTATAAACAATATTTGTTTTTACCAGTTTTTTATCTCAAGTAAAAAAACTATTATAACTAATTATGAAACCAGTTTTCGTAAGTTGTTTGCTTCGTTACACTGCAATAACATTGAGAATATCAATAATTCTTACTTTATTTATTGTTCTGGTGTACAGGTTCACTACATATCATTATTCCTAATGCACATGTACCTTTCTCATACATAAACCGCATACTATGTACTTTTAATGTGAATTTTATGAGTACTTTTATTTGATATAGCTAAATGTAAGTAATCATAATTATTGACTTGAGTTTAGAAAGTGGGGAATTTTCGCAAACAAAATATGTCTGAATATTCTGAATGCTATTTGATAAACAAATAGTGAATTGTCTCAATACGATCTATTGTATAAATACATTGCTGATTTTTATCTAATTATACGTATTAATTATTTATTTTGAATTTTCCTGCTCATTCAATTCAATTCAGTACAGTGTATATGAAATCATCAATTGTAACTTTAAGTTAAAAGTCACCAGGTGTGTATCCAGTAGTGATAATCTATTTGTATATTATTATTACTAATTATGGCAATTATAATAATTGTATTTTGTTTTCATTAAAATAGTTTTACACCAAAAATGCCAACAAAAAAGAAATTCAACAAAATATGTTCAATTTGTGGCGAAAAGGCTATCGGTATGAATGCATTCAATACTAAAATAATACTCAAAATTCAATATACTTTCATATAAAATGAGTATAAATGTCACTGAATTTGAATTGAAAACTAAATCCGTGTCATATCCCGTATAATTGTTTCAATGAAATAATTATATTTTGTTTGATATTTAGTACTTTTCAATTATTTTATGTATTCAAAAATACTATAATATAATAAGTAGCTAGGAAATCAATAACAAATGTAATTATGAACTAAAAATATATATCTTTCTCATTAAAGGCTATAATTTTTGTGCGATATCTTGCGAGTCGTGTAAAGCATTTTTCCGACGAAATGCCACCAAATTGGATGTAAATTCATATTTTGCTTAATTTTATACGATATTATAATTTAGAAATATCAAATACTAAATTAACTGAAATCCTTGTTTTAAATGACAATAAAGGAGTATAAATGTCCGTTTGATAACAAATGCAAAGTGAACATGGTCACTAGGAAATTCTGCCGCAAATGTCGACTCCGCAAGTGTTATGCCGTCGGAATGAAACAAGTAATCAATCCTTTCATTCGTTTAGTGTTAAAATTATTCACAAATTATTTGTATATTTATTAATAGGAATGGATTCTGAATGACGAGGAAAGGGAGCTGAGGAGACGGCAAATCGAGGAGAATAGGAAGTGGAGGGAAGCCAACGATAAGACTGATACGAGTAGTGACACAAATAATAATAATGAGTCCACAAAAGCCATATCTCCTCCTGAGATAGACCCAGAGGATACCATTGAGGCGCCGATAGATTTATTGGACACAGATGTGGATAATATTATGTCAAATATACTGGACATTGAGAGATATATGGCTAATGACAACAGTATTCATAACAAAACTACTATTTTCTCGATTAATATAAATACTAATACTAATAGTAATAGCAATGATAGCCACACAACAAGTGATACTTCAGATGGCGATGAGATATCTGACAAAACATACGACAAAGTGGTGGAAATGGAGTTAGCGGTGCTTCCCATACCCTCCGCCGTCACCGATAATAACAGCTTGAATTCAGTTGAGTTCAGCCGACTGTCGGAGCTGTTCCGGCTCATGGGTAGTCTCGATAGGCCGCGACCCGAACCCAAACTAATGGCGCAAAATGGGCAACAAGTGGCCGACTTCTTTATACACAGATTTGAATATTTCATACAAAAGTTTGTGAGCGTAGCCAAGTCTTTATCGGCATTTCAATCAATATGCGAGAACGACCAAATAGCCCTGATTAAATATAGTAGCTTCGAGGCCCTACTCATGAGGACTGCCGTTAATTTTGACTACGACCAGGAGTTCTGGACATTTATACACGTGAGTAGCTTAGCGTTTAAATTAATTGATCACTACAGGTAATATCATATATAATTAATATGTATGATGATTAGGACGAACAAAACTCCATTGTATGTAAACTGGATCTATTGAAAGATCTGTTTCACGAGTACGACGGCTATTCCGTGTTCAGGAGCTTTTTCAGAAAGTTTGGAAGTGCCTGGGATTCCGACCCATATGTGGTTCACCTAGTATGCATAAATGAAATAACTATAAATGAATAACATACCAGTATATTAATAATATGCATTTTTATTAAGTTAATGGTAATAACGCTGTTTAATCCGGATCGACCTAACCTTGTTCATAAGGAAATTGTTAAGTAAGTGATAAATTAGCACTGCTAATTCTAGCTTATTATTATAATTAATTCAAGCGTATATATTAGTTTTTGAATTTACAATTAAATTAACTCTATTTCTAAATTTAATAATAGGCTCCAGCAACAATTATACATGTTTCTACTGCAACGCTATTTGCAAAGCAAATACGGCTCCCAATGTGAGGCGAAATCAAGATTTTTGAGAATAATTAATAGTTTGGAGGACTTAAACAAATTCGTGGAGATCCACAAACACAGCCACAGGGAAAGGGATCGCAATCAGCTGGGACCTTTTCTCAGAGAGGTTCTCGATATACCGGCTAATGATTATGCAATCAGATTGGAAAGCAATCCAGTTGGCAATTCATTGACTGTCTTATGAAATGATTGGACAAAATAACTACAGAATTGTCAGAATATTCTGTGAATAAAATTATTTTTAAACTCATGATTAGCTTCATAAACAAAATTGCATTGCATATTTGAATTGCATATTTTAAAAAGTGTAGTTACAATTTAAATTTTATTTTATTCAATATTATTCTTGTAATTTAAATAAATATTTTATTGTGTGTAAATATTTACATTATTTTTGTTAATAAAGTTATTTATTATAATTTAAGACTATTTATTAATGTCTAATAAAGGAATCCATCAATATTTCTAATTATACACGAGTTTATTATGGCATTGAATTAATGTTAGCTAAAGTTTTTAAACATGAATTTAGAGTCCTTGAGTGCTAGGGTAGTTTATAACTCAATACAAAGTAATTACTTTATCAGAGTCTATCAATGGATTTTATATCTATGAAAACTAGTTAAACAAATGTTATATAAATAAAGTATAATCGAGTTTAAAATGTCTGAAGAGACATCTCATGAAGTTATTTATTTTGTGTATTTATAACAACTTGCATTTCATTGTATCATTCAACCACCTGATTTTAATATTATTATTCAAATTTTGAATTTATTTTAAATCAAAAAACAAAATATTTGTTTGAAATAATAAGTTTTATCTAAAATTGTTAAAGCCAAGATTTTATCATTATAATTACGGTTTAAGACTATGCTGTGTACAAAATTAAAAGGTAAATAAAAAATTGAGTACAAAAATTGTTTATAATGTTGCCTAGGTAATGTTACTATATCTGATGTTATATAAATATTTATGTAAAATTAATTTCCTGTACAATTAACTTTTATAAAATGTCATATACAAATAAAATTATTTTCAATTAGACTTTAATTAAATTATACATATGTTATCCCGATTAGATTAATTATAATAATGGCATCGAATCAAAAGTTGTGCTTGGTGTGCGGTGATAAAGCGTTGAGTATGTAGACCTAGCAAATATTAAATATTTTGTGCAATTAACTAATTATTGATTACACTATATTATGTGACTATATTTAAAATTAACATATTTAATTTCAAAAGTAACTTGTTTATATTCACAGGCAATAACTTCTGTGCCATTACTTGCGAGTCGTGTAAAGCATTCTTCCGGAGAAATGCCAGAAAACTTGAGGTAATGATTGAAACTTTAGAAATGATTTTTAAATAATATTATATTTTAAACACATTTATTAATTGCGTGAAACAGGAGTGCAATAAATGTCCGTTTGATGACAAATGTGAGGTTAATGTACACAACCGTAGACTTTGCCGCAGGTGTCGACTCCGCAAATGTTATGCCGTCGGAATGAAACATGTATTTCCTTTCAGTCATTATATTATTTACTTTTAATCTAATAATCATTTTTATTGAAGGAATGGCTTTTTAATAAAAAGGAAACTCAAAAACCAAAACAAAATATTGACGAAAATAGACAAACATGTGATCAAAATACTCATGAAATACAGAATATTCTTGACGTCTCACTACTGACTCCTAGCCTATCGTCGGGAACTGACTGCTCATTAGAAATGTTTGACACAAACGACTTGAACGCCGAAGACTTGTTCACAAATATACAAATTGAAAGTGATTTCACAGACAATAATAACGATACAAATCTATCGCAAAATATTGAGACAATAAGTCAAACATTAGATGAATTATACATTCATCAAAGTGTCGATAGTTTAGGCATTTCTAACAATACGTACCGAAAGGCAGTAGAACTGGAGCTGTCAGTACTTCCCATTCCCCGGGCATTCAACAACTACCACAGTCTCACTCGTGAGGAATGGAGTCGACTCTTTGAACTGTTCAGCGAAACGGTTAAAACTCGCGAGTGGTCTGAACCGCACCACATAATTATCGCCACAACTATACCAGAAGTGGCCACTTGTTTGCTACAGAAGTTTGAGCTGTTCCTGCACAGATATATTTTTATTAGTAAATGTCTCACTTCATTCAAGTGTCTGTGCGATGATGACCAATTAGCCCTGATCAAATATAGCTGCATTGAGGCCATGCTTATGCTAACGTCCATGTATTTTGACAATAAGGACGAGAAATGGACTTTTGTATTGGTATTAATAATATCATATAACTAATGTCGTATCATTATTAGCTGTAGTTAACATTAAATTATTATTGTTATTTAGTATACTAAAATTAAAGTTGTAATTAAAATATTACTTATTTATTACAATATTTATATATGATTTTAGGACAACATTGCATTAGTCCTACCATTGGATCTGTTGAAAGAGACCAAAAGAGACGGATATTCATTGTTTCGGAACTATTTAATAAAGTTTATCACTGATTGGGATTCGGATCCTTTTGTTATAGACTTGGTCATTATATTTATCACTTATGGTTTACACCAAATTTAATTAACTATTTTTTATTAACAGCTTATGGCTATAATACTATTTAACCCGGATCGCCCTAACCTTACTGATAGAGAGCTGATTAAGTGAGTGATTGATAAATGTACAGTACATACAATATTATAAACAAATTATTTATTGTAATTAATCATTTGTATTGCTATTATTTATAGAGTACAACAACAGCTATATATGTATTTACTTCAGAGGTATCTGCAGATCAGATACGGCTCTGAATGTGAGGCGAAGTCAAGATTTATAAGACTATTGAATACCTTAGAAGACGTACAAAATTTGGACAAAATTCACAAACAAAACAATACAGAAGAGCCGGATCCTCACAGATTAGGACCACTTTTGACCGAAATTCTTGATATTCCCCACAATAATAATTCGTTGACTTTTACATAAATATACCATTTATTTAAAGTTTACTTTTCAGTGTATATTGCGATAACTATTTAAAATTTATTAATTGAAATAAAAATGCTTAAATTATAATCTTGTTTCAATTTATGAATTTAATATAAATAATATTTTATTTAAAAAATTTTCTGATAGTCAATTATGAATACTATTTAATTTCTACAAAAGTTTTCTAAACACTTTAGTATATTTGATCTGTTGCCACATAATTATCATCACAAGTACTTTAATGGAGGAAATAATAAGCGAAAGGGAATTCCTACAAAAATAAAATCATATACACTACAGTAAAGGCTGTTGGATAATTGGCACTGTTCATTTAAAATCCATACTTTAGTGTTAAATACACCTTACCTTAACGTTAAAATGTATTAATAAATAACATTTGTGACTAAATCTGCATGATCAATATTACTAATAATTATATTGTTCTTTATAACAAATTTCTACTTTATTAAGAGAGTACAATTATGAGTGAAAAATAAACCTACGTATAATATACTAAACTATATTGGCAAATATTTATTTAGTCTGTGCTTTTAATAAATATAAAATCTAATTTATAATCTATTGCAACTACCGTGTAATATTAAATTAAATTAATTTGAGTACACATTTGTTATCATATGAGTACACATTTTCGATTTGAATGCTAGATAAATAATCTATTAAACCTCGGATCTTACTATTTATCAAATCAAGGTATGTTTTAA